TTTTTGGTAATCTATTGGACTTTTTCATAATACCTCAACCCTTGCAAGAACTCAAATGGTTTTAAAAATATGGAAAAATTTATGGGTATTTATGTTTGTTTAGATGTTATTGACTTTGCAAGAAATATTATATGTACTAAACTTTAAACTAATATTATATGGAACAGTCATTACCTTGGTAAAACTCCAGTTTTGAACATAAGTGATCCGGAATTGATTAAACAAATTATGGTTAAAGACTTCCATCTATTCCCGGATCGAACCACATTCGGTCGAAATAGTGATGCGATTATGAGTAGAAATTTGGCTCAATTGACTGGCGATGACTGGAAGAGAGTCCGATCCATAGTTAGCCCGACATTCACTTCCGGAAAGATGAAGAAAATGTATCCAAGAATTAAGGAGTGTTTGACAGACTTTATGAACCATTTGGAGGGCTTTGCCGCTAAGAAAGAAGAGGTGAACGTAAAGGACTTGTACGGGAACTACACTATGGATGTGATCGCCACGTGTGCCTTCGCCACCAAAACTGATGTCCATAAAGCACTCGATAACCCATTTGTAGTAAACGCGAGGATTACGTTCAATACAAACCCTGTTAGAAGAATAGCCCAAATGATGTTACCAGGGTTTGTACTAAGAAGGTTAGGGTTGTCCACATCAACCGCCAGAGACTTCTTCTTGGGATCCATTCGTCAGATCCTCTCAAATCGACGACAAAATCAGAATCAGAAATACAATGATTTCTTACAACTGCTGATTGATGTGGAAAAAGCAAATGACATCACAAGAGATGAGAATGATATCAATGAATCACATCATGTGAACGAAGGTATAGATAAAGACTTTATCTGAAAATTGATAAACTTTTAAATAAATCTATAATTGAATTCATAATTGATTTAAAGGTGAGGAAGAGTTGGCGGTCGAGAGGAAAGCCCTGAATATAAATGTTGTGAATAAGCACTTGACTGAGAATGAGATCCTCGCACAGGCTATGGTTTTCCTTTTGGCCGGGTATGAGACGACGGGAACATTGCTTTCATTTTGTACGTATGAATTGGCACTCAATCCTCACGTCCAGGAAATACTACACAAAGAAGTAAACTCTGCCATCGATTCCAACGGAGAGATTGATTATGATTTGTTGTCAAGACTTCCGTATTTGGATTCAGTCATCTCAGAAACATTGAGACTCCACTCCCCGGCCCAACGTTTGTCACGCCTTTCCACTACTGACTACAAATTAGGCAACACTGGGATCACATTGCACCCAGGACAGCAAATTGATTTTCCCATTTATGCCATCCATACGTCCGAAGAGAACTACCC